TCCTTTTACTCTCCCAACCAGTAAATTTATTTTTTATTGCAGGAAATTATCAGCAGATCATAATATTTAACAATTTGAAACTAGCAGCTTAATCTAACACTTTATCAGTCACCTTGTCATAATCTTGTTCTGTATTCTGTACAGAGACGGATACAGTCCAAGAATCATTTGTTTCTATTTGGATTAAAGTGACACTAAACTCCAGGAGGTAAATCTTAAAAACCCATTCAAGTCCCTTTTAAATATGAACAACAATGTATCTTATTTGTCGGCTGTAGATCCTCCAATCATCTCTGAATTGGCGCTGACACTGTCCTCCTTCTGGAGGGGGGCTATGTCTGTTCCCCATGGTCCCTGTGTGTGTTGTAAAGTAGTCACCGCTCCAAGCTCATCCCCACCCCCCGGGATGGACTACAATCTCACGTTTAGTTTACTAATTTGTATTGAAATCACAGTCTATCATGGGAGCGATCTTGGAGCAGTGACTACTTTATAACACACACAGGGACCATGGGGGAACAGACGTAGCCCCCCCTCTAGAAGGAAGGACAGTGTCGGCACCAATTTCAGAGATGATTGGAGGATCTACAGCTAAATGATGCAGAGAAAAAGATACATTTTTGTTAATGGTTAGGCCCGGTTCACACCTGGGCGTGTTGTAGCGCGTTCGTACGCTCTGCAAAATGCTCAAACACCGAAATCCCATTATTTCCTATGGGTAGGGGTCACACCTGGGCGTATTACAGGCCGTATGAACGCGCTACAAAACGGCCAACGCCCAAAGTACAGGAGCTTTTTTGGGGCGTATTTGCCGCGCGTATCCATTGGGATACAGCCAGGTAGCCCTCGGAAACGCGCGTTTGTGGCACATTTTTTTACCGCAAATCGCTGTAAAAACGAGTGGCACGGAACGCGCGACAAACGCGCATATTCGGTAAGCCTATGTGTGAACCCAGCGTTAGGGTACCTGAATGCATTTTTAAGATTTAGCGCCTGAGTTTAGTGTCACTTACTTTAAGCTCTTTGCTCCTGTTGGCCAAGAGTCTTGTTTATCCTGACCCTCCCCACCCTCCAAGTTCAAT